GGGCCATGCGCTTATCGTGGTATTGAGACATAGTTTAACGGAGTAGTGTCTCCCTGACGAGTCGTTGTAGAGGGGGGTTCGAGCGAGCTGAGATAGCCTGAGGATGTTGAGAGTTGGCGGAGGTTGATTTCGTTAGGAGGTCGTTATTAAGGTCGTTACAGAGAGGAGAGCCGGCTACAAACACAAAAAAGGAGGAGGATTTTGTCTTGCCAGACAGACAGCAGGGGAGGTGGTGAAGGTAGTGCTGGTCCAGATTAGTAGTTGACTTTATACGCTCGGACCCAGGAAGCGCCGTTGGCCCTTTGACCTAAAGCGGCCCTTTGTTCTTCGCGGCTCACAATGGGAAGACGCTCAACGGGCTTCTTAGAGCACAAGTAAACATCTCAATTGCATGTTCATTCATTCCGAGAACAAAAAAGACTTTCTTCAGAACCTCCACAAAATACGATTCAGCTCGCCCCCCTCTACAACGACTCGTCAGGGAGACACTACTCCGTTAAACTATGTCTCAATACCACGATAAGCGCAAAGGACACCGGGGTCCCAGGAATAAGTGAGGACGGAAATAGCCACAACAGGAGAAGGGGGGGAACAATGAGTCAAACCCATCGACGAGACGGAAAGGATACAGTGTGGAGCCGAGCCAGATTCTAATCGCACAAAAGGCCGAGACGATATTGGATACAGTGGGGAGAGCGAGGTATGTACTTTTTTTTGAGGCGGGTCATGTCGGTTGATTATCTATGGTAAATCCGGGTATTGTTGTAATCTCTAATGCGTAGATAGACGTCTATCCATGGGGTTATGCATGAGTGCAAAGCTGCTCGTACGAGGTGAGCAGGCTTGATAGACAGCCGGATTGACTGAAGCGTTGGAAGATGGTGACATGGAGATAGAAGTCCTAACGAGCGCGTTTATCGCGGTATCGTCAGCAAATATGCTGATGAGGGCTTCATAACCGCCTCGACCAGGCTCGGCCGCTTGCTTTTCGAGCGTCTTGATGGCGTTGATCCAATGGGCGGGTGGTGCGATTATATTTGGAGAAGATCCGACTGGGAAGGTCGATGGAGATGAAAAGAGGGCGACGAGATCATAGGCAATGAAATTCCTATAACTGTGCTCGATCGAGAATTGACCTGGGTAAGAGGTAGCCGCATAAACAATTGCAGATATGTGAATATCGAATGCGGTAAGACGCTTAGCACCAGGGCTGAGCAGACAGTCTGCGGTCAAGACTACAAAGGAGGCGGGAGTCGGTCAGCCATCGGTGGCAAGTGGAGGACAATAGAAAAGAATGGGGTCGCGTTCAAGTTGATGAGGGAGAGAGGGGAAAAAAACGTACTGAAGATCAGAGCAAGAGCATCGTGTGTTCTGATGAGCCCGTATTTTCCTTGGAGAGCATTGGCTATAGCCGCCATGCGGGCATTGGCATAGGCACATTCCTGGTCCCTGTGAAGGGCCATGCGCTTATCGTGGTATTGAGACATAGTTTAACGGAGTAGTGTCTCCCTGACGAGTCGTTGTAGAGGGGGG